CACTTCAAACGAGAAAAGGAAACTTGTACTCGAAGGGGTTGGTATTGACCTCCTTTTTTTTCCGGTCTATTGCAACCCCATCAAATACTTCATTTTTGACGCAGAATACAAGAATGTGCACGCTTCAGTATGGCAAACCATCACTTTAGTCATCCCATCTGGCACACAAAGGGTCTTGGTCACAGCAATCCTCGGGTAGTGGGTAGAGCTTCTACCCCAACAGCGCAGTGAAGCAATGAATCCACTCTGGCTTCAATGGGCGTTGGTGGGTGGCATGAATCCGGATGTTTTTTGGGGGAGGGGTAGGAGGTGGGGAGGGCACGACGGGTGAGGACAGGTGAGGGTGGATGAACCAAACATCACTACTTTTCTTTGTTTTCAGGTCGTGTCGCACCTGTCGTAATAGGTCATCACTCCTGTGCTAGTGTAACGGTGCCCCTGCCCTTTCCCATGTAAGGGACCTCCAGCCACGTCCCTGGTTTGGAGAGAGCTTCGTTGTTGTTCCAAAAAGAAAAAAAAAGGCCATGGAGGCCACCTTCCGAATGCGTCGGGACGTAATGACGCCGTATTCACGTTGTATTCAAATCCATCGGAGCGGAACAACGTCCCATTAGATAGGCCCAAGTCCAGTCACCTGAGCTTTGGGCAGTGGCAACAGAATAGTGAAATCAAGGAATCCATTGTCATGAAACATGAGGCCGGGAATTCCTCACAACTAATCCGGAAGCAAAATAATAGTATGCCAGCTGAGGCCGCTGTGATGAATCACCGAACATGCTCTCACAGGCTCGCATGCTTCTCTCCTGCCGGCTTAGGTGAGCAACACTGTCTTCTCCCAAGTGGAGCACACCATCATTCTCATTGTATGTGCACTGCCCCACTTGAGACCAACAGACATTATCCCTTAATATGTGTGAGTGGGACCTCGCCGTGCAAAGGGGGCATTGTCGACGGGCTTCGGTCGTTGATTCCGAAAATGTACGGCCTCAAATGAAGAACCTTTGTAACTGGGACCTGGGTCCCGAGGCGAGTCCCACTAGCAAAGAGGATTGGAGTAAACGCCTAAACCCAGATCATGATGTGCTTTATGCAAAGATGCAGATGGCGATTTTGTGCGCTCTCCACAAATATTTTCGGATTTACACGTTAAATCCAATCCTCTCTGCTTGTGGGACATCGCCCTCGGGCTGCTGCTTCCCAAAAAGGAAGCAGTGTTGTTTCCGAGGAGGGGGGGGGGGGGGAACAAGAAAAAAATATGGCAATCCCAAATGGGGTGGTCCCATGTGCGCGGCGGAAACGAGTGGTTCCTTTATTCTCGGGTCATGCCAAGCATGTTTTACCTGTCGTACAAATATCGTAATGGCAGCATTCCAAGTCCATGTCCAGTGTTTTTTTCTACACTGGGAGCATAACTAGAGCCCACATAGGTAACCAGATTAGCAATCTTGTGACACCCCAACCTCACGCCCAGCGCAACTTCCTGATCGGAGTGAGAGTGGGCCTGAAAGTGCAAAAAGGGGGTGTGCCAAGGATTTTAGGAAAGTGGGGGGTGGAGTCCCAGGTCGGAACTCAGATCTCATGTGACAAGTTTCAGGGATACGAATGCAAGAGGGTAGGCGCGGGTCAGAGTCCTGTTTTATGCTTCGGAGAGCGGAGTTACCGCCTCCGTTCGTTCCGTCATCTCGACCAGATTCGTGTCTGGTGTACTGGTGGGACGCTATGGCTATGTCGCTGGCTGATCACCTGCCGACGTCGAATGTCGCAGGTCTCGGAATCCGACGCAGCAGGCCTCACCTGAAGGCTGTGCTCCCGTCGTTCTTCCTCCGAGCGAGTTCGCTGAATG